ATCCACTCTTTCAACATGCCTAAGTTTGCTGGGTTTTTGAGTCACCTTGTTCACATACATATGAATATACAAACAGACGGTCAACACTTTGACGGATGATTTGGTGTAAAACGTGATACATATCCCTAATTCTGATGATAAAATTCAGTACCAAATTTGATCTATCTAGCACTTTACGCATTTTGGTTGTTGTATTCACATGCGCACTGACAGATAGATTTGTCAAAAATTTGATAGAATTGATACAGTAATTGAAACACAATATGGGATGAAAAACCGCATATTGTGTTCCATATGCTCAATTCATTTTTAAGTTGTCTAACTCAAAGACCCACAGAAGGATGTAATTCTTAAAATGCGTCTTTCGGACTCAAGGACGTATGAAACATAGAGATCATCAAAATCTCGAGATCCAATTTTTTGATGATTGCATTACTTTCTCTTTGTATATTCCATATACGAGAAAGTATTAAAAATTCACCGCCAATTCGTAGTCGAGCTAGCAATCTTTGTCAACACATATTAACATTATCAAGCTAAAGAAAAGTGTATAAAAATTGGTTATTTCGAACTCAAAGAGGTCTGAAACATCGATATTCAATAAAGTTTCGAAGTTCAATTTTCTGATGTTCCCAAAACGTTCCTTATGTCTATCTCACGAGGAAGTGAAAAGAAAGAAATGAATTTAGACAAATGTAAGCACCTCTGGGAGAGATTTTAATCGTTAAAAAAGAAACAATATGCAACCAATAATTTGAACTCTCGAAATATCACTCCAGATGATTCGGAATCGAACTGGAACTGGGTTATTTCGAATTCGGAGAGGTCTGAAACATCGATATTCATCAAAATCTCGAAGTTTAATTTTCTGATGTTAGCAGAATTTTCCCTAAATATGTCTAGTGCACGAGGAATTAAAAAGAAAGGAATGAATTTTGACGACTGTGAGCTTATCTGGAAGAGATTTTAGTCGTTAGCAAAGAAACAACTTGCAACTAACAATTTGGAATTCCGAAATCACTCCCCAGACGTGAATTATTTGAAAAAAATCAATGAACCCCAAGATCCCTTCCAGAAAATGCTCACAAGCAGAGATAACCATGAAGACCATTAAATAAAAGCAGTTTTCTAAAACCGAGTGGAGCGTGGGTTGCTGCTCCCCAAAGGATCAAAAAGATACTCGGATATTTCGTGTCCCTGTGGCGAAAGAAGACTGCATTGCGGATTTCAGATTTACTGCCCAGAAGGATTAGGGTATTATAGCTTCATTTATATAAAACTAGCTTTCCCCCCACCTACACGAGTGTCTTTATTGAAGTTTCCAGAAATGGTTGTTGGGAAACCCATGAATAAGTTGTTTGAAAGCTTTTGCTCAGATCCACAGAAAATATATCGAAGGCAACAAGTACACATTTTTTATACTTCGGGATTTAGAATTGAAACGCGGTTGTGTCTAATATTGGGTTTTGTCGGACGAATTTTTATTCAGCTTTTAACCTTTCAGCTTTTAACATCTTCATACAATATTCATACTATGCCTTCAGGCAATTTTTTGCGCTGTTTATTCATTTATTTAAAGAAAATACACAAACTACAGAAACTCTAGTTCCAGTATTGCATGACAGCAAATCCTGTATTCATTCCAGCGAGAAATTTATAAATTGTAAATACTTACTCTTAGAAAACATTAAAGGCAACAAGGCTTTTAGAAAATTTGTTAAAAGTTTTGCAAAATTTACATAAGGATAAATTTGATATAATCAAAAATAGTATATTCTTAAACATGTTCATGTCTCTTAAACTCAACTGAATATAATTGAATGAGCATGCCAGTTCAGTCATATGATTAATGTATTTAAAAAAATAACGTAGAAATAAAGATATTTTTCGTATTTCAAACTAGGAACATCAAATGACTGCGCAGAAAAGATGTATCTTCATCTTGAAAAAAATATGATTAATTTTACAAAAAAAGGGATGCATCAATTAAGTTTGCATTTCTTTAGAATTTTGATTTCACTTTTATAGTGCAGATTGTTTTAACATTATAGCACACAAATATGACTTTACACTGCAATATTCAAAAATAAAGCGACAAATACCGAAAAATAAGATTTCAGTTTTGTTCATTAAAAACATTATGAGTTTTATGTTTGAAAAACAAAATTTCGTCCAAGATCTTGAAACTGAAATCAAGTTTGAGTTAAAAATAGCGCAAGGATCAGAAAATAAATTACAGCTATATAAAGCAAAATTATTCCTTAAAGGTTGAGATTTACAAATAAGATGAAACACTGTACACTTCTAAGTTTTAAAAAAATGTTTTGTCTGTATAGCACAGATATAAATCCAATTCTCAAACGCTGTAATAATATAGATTTTCGCATTTTTTTCTAAAAATTGCAAAAAACAGTAAAATTAAATCGCTCGTGTATATATATTCAGTTATTATGGCTACTTGCCGTATTTTTGTTTGTTTGTTTAGGTCTCTTGATGTGGAATAACTTATTGTCCCTGTTATTAGTATTTGAGATCGTTTTTGTCCGAAATATTTCCGAAAGAAATATACAGGGTGTCCCAAAAAAGTGGAACAAGAGTTTATATTTTTAAATATTGATTTTAGACATATACTTCCAATTACAAAGTTTCATCAAATAAAGTAAGAATTTGTATGAAAATACTTTGATATCCATGAGGATTGATAACAAAAAGTTACAAAAATTAAATTTTTTATACGGCCCACATAGAGTAAACTTGTGAATTAGTAAAATATTTCTTTTACATTCATATATTCACATACAAAATTGGACGCTTCTATATGCAAAACTTGCATATATATAACAAGATAAAGTTGTTGACTTGGACTACTTTTCCATACCTCTCACTGCTGTTTGATGCAGTCTTTCGACGTACATTTTAGGAATAATATACATATTTAAAAAAATATTTAAATTTTATTTTATCTAGTTCTAATCAGGAAAATACAATGTATTTGATAACTCGCGTTAAATCTAAAAGCTAGTCAAATAATACATTAATTAAAGTATTTACAAAAACAGTTCATCTTGTAAACCTTCAAAAATATTCACGGTGACATATCAACCGTGAGGCTCATCTTCCCAGAGACAAGAAGTGCCATAAAAATATTACTAGAATACAATTGAAATGCAATTTTTCAAAAATAGCTTTACTTTCAAATATTCAAACTTGTGGTGGTAATTATCTGAAATGTATTTTAGATAATTACAGTCCTTCTTTGTCAGGGAGTTCCTTTTTAATAATAGAATCCGAATATGTAAAAACAAGCCAAGTTCCCGTTGAGGCAACATGAAAGTGAATACGAAACCTAAAAACAGCCAATGAAAAAAATCATGGGTGAGATAGAAAGGAAAAAAAGAACATTAGTTCTAAGACAGAAAGAATAGCTATTCTCTTTCGTCCATGATGTCACTTAGTTGTACGCAATGAGCGAATTTTAGTGCTTTTCAAAACTATTTGGTTTTGCAGCCTCAACCTGTGTCTGTCTTAATTTTTCATTCATTTTCTGTCTTCCTTTCTCGTTTTTATCGTTCTTCGTTACTGATCGAACTCTCAGAGTGGAGAAGTAAGCAAAAAAGAATAAAAACAAATTACGAATCTGTAAAATAATTTTAGTGAGCTCTGCAACTTTGCAGACCTAAATGACGAGTCAGCACTGGTTTTAGATAAAGCTCAATAATGAGCACAACGCTAAGAGCAAATTATGCCGTATTCTTGTCCAATATTAGGCTATTTCAATGTTATACCTTGATTTTTTATTTTCTCAAGTTGTCCTTCCATTCTTTATCAAGTCGATAGTTGCAACTATCTGCCAATGAAAATGAGTAACAGTATGCGTCTTGGCAATGTTTTTCATCCATGATGATTGGATGATTTACTATTAGTCAAACATTTGCATTTCGCAGTGTTTCTCTGTCGAATAAATTTGCATTTCTTCAGTAAATGTCTCAATATAAATTTGTGAGCTGCCCTTTGAAATTTAAAAATTAACATATCTCTGTAAGTTTTGCAGACAGAATCGCGAAACCTAGTTTATACATGGATGAGTGTAAGAGGAACATTTCACTCTTTGACACTTTTAGTCTACGGGGAACGTATAAAAATTTAATTTTCTTAACTTTTTATATTCAACTTCCACAAGAACCAAAGTGTTTTTAAACAAATTTCTACCTTATTCGATGAAAATTTATAGTTGGAAGTATATGTCTAAGTGCGATATTTAAGAAAATAAATGCTTGTTCCACATTTTTGGGTCACCCTGTATCTCACTATAAATAGAAAAGAAACATTAGTTTATCTGGCACGATTTAGAAATAAAAACCACGGCTTACATTTTATTTAAATTTTACTCATAAAAATTAAGAAGCATAAAGAATGTTTTAGTGAACGTTTACTGGTAAAGAGTTAAAGAGTTAACTAATTATTAATTAAAAATAAAAACTTTCCACAGCGCAAGAACAGTTAAAGTTGAGTGGACTGTACATGTGTGCGACTCGACGGCCACAATTTTGTTAAAATACATAGTAAAAACAAAATTCAGTGTCATTTTGCAAAATTTAAAATCTCACCTTACTACTGTCGCTATAAAGAAGAGAAATGGCTCTGTTTTATGCTGGAATGTCAGATAAATATAGAGATACGTCATATTTATATAAAGAGTATCAGAAATTGGGCGAATGTGCAAACGACTGTCGTAAGGTCAGTTGGAAGAGCGTAGTCAGGCGTTGTTAGACGCGTAAAAGCCGAAATCCATAGGTCGCTGGCTCGACTCCTGCTCGACGGATGCAATTTTGTTCCAGTTGATATCAAAAATGTAATCCCTCTCCACTTGTCTAAACTTAAAGCCTTACAAAACTACTCTCGATTTTAAGAAGAGAAGCTTCTCTTTTTACATTTGAATCACTTTCACTATTTAGATTAGTCTAATTTCTTACAAAAGAGTCTGAACACAAATAGAACGTCCGTCGATAGCTCAGTTGGCAGAGCGGTGGACAGTAAACGCCGAAATCCATAGGTCGCTGGTTCGACTCCGGCTCGACGGATGCAATTTTGTTCCAGTTGATATCAAAAATGTAATCCCTCTCCACTTGTCTAAAAATAAAGCCTTACATAACTACTCTCGATTTTAAGAAGAGAAACTTCTCTTTTTACATTTCAATCACTTTCACCGTTTAGATTTGCCTAATTTCTTACATAAGCGTCTGCACGCCAACAGAACGTCCGTCGATAGCTCAGTTGGCAGAGCGGTGGACTGTAGACGAATAAAAGCCGAAATCCATAGGTCGCTGGTTCGACTCCGGCTCGACGGATGCAATTTTGTTCCAGTTGATATCAAAATGTAATCCTCTCACTTGTCTAAAATTAAAGCCTTACATAGCTTCTCTTTTCTCTTTTTACATTTGAATCACTTTCACCGTTTAGATTTGCCTAATTTCTTACATAAGCGTCTGCACGCCAACAGAACGTCCGTCGATAGCTCAGTTGGCAGAGCGGTGGACTGTAGACGAATAAAATCCGAAATCCATAGGTCGCTGGTTCGACTCCGGCTCGACGGATGCAATTTTGTTCCAGTTGATATCAAAAATGTAATCCCTCTCCACTTGTCTAAAATTAAAGCCTTACATAAATACTCTAGATTTTAAGAAGAGAAACTTCTCTTTTTACATTTGAATCACTTTCACTGTTTAGATTAGTCTAATTTCTTACAAAAGAGTGTGAACACAAATCGAACGTCCGTCGATAGCTCAGTTGGCAGAGCGGTGGACTGTAGACGAATAAAAGCCGAAATCCATAGGTCGCTGGTTCGACTCCGGCTCGACGGATGTAATTTTGTTCCAGTTGATATCAAAAATGTAATCCCTCTCCACTTGTCTAAAAATAAAGCCTTACATAACTACTCTCGATTTTAAGAAGAGAAATTTCTCTTTTTACATTTGAATCACTTTCACTGTTTAGATTAGTCTAATTTCTTACAAAAGAGTCTGAACACAAATAGAACGTCCGTCGATAGCTCAGTTGGCAGAGCGGTGGACTGTAGACGAATAAAAGCCGGAATCCATAGGTCGCTGGTTCGACTCCGGCACGATGGATGCAATTTTGTTCCAGTTGATATCAAAAATGTAATCCCTCTCCACTTGTCTAAAAATAAAGCCTTACATAACTACTCTCGATTTTAAGAAGAGAAATTTCTCTTTTACATTTGAATCACTTTCACTGTTTAGATTAGTCTAATTTCTTACAAAAGAGTCTGAACACAATAGAACGTCCGTCGATAGCTCAGTTGGCAGAGGTACGTAGACGAATAAAGCCGAAACTATAGTTGGTTGACTCCGGCTCGACGGATGCAATTTTGTTCCAGTTGATATCAAAAATGTAATCCCTCTCCACTTGTCTAAAAATAAAGCCTTAAATTACTACTCTCGATTTTAAGAAGAGAAATTTCTCTTTTACATTTGAATCACTTTCACTGTTTAGATTAGTCTAATTTCTTACAAAAGAGTCTGAACACAAATAGAACGTCCGTCGATAGCTCAGTTGGCAGAGCGGTGGACTGTAGACGAATAAAAGCCGAAATCCATAGGTCGCTGGTTCGACTCCGGCTCGACGGATGCAATTTTGTTCCAGATATCAAAAATGTAATCCTCCACTTGTCTAAAATAAAGCCTTACATAACTACTCTCGATTTTAAGAAGAGAAATTTCTCTTTTACATTTAATCACTTTCATGTTTAGATTGCTATTTCAAAAAGAGTTCACAAATAGAACGTCCGTTGATAGCTCAGTTGGCAGAGCGGTGGACTGTAGAGAATAAAAGCCGAAATCCATATCTGACGGTGATGTCAATTTTGTTCCAGTTGATATCAAAAATGTAACCCTCTTCACTTGTCTAAAATTAAAGCCTTACATAACTACTCTCGATTTTAAGAAGAGAAATTTTTCTTTTTACATTTGAATCACTTTCACTGTTTGAATTAGTCTAATTTCTTACAAAAGAGTCTGAACACAAATAGAACGTCCGTCGATAGCTCAGTTGGCAGAGCGGTGGACTGTAGACGAATAAAAGCCGAAATCCATAGGTCGCTGGTTGACTGCCTGAGGATGCAATTTTTCCAGTGATATCAAAAATGTAATCCCTCTCCACTTGTCTAAAAATAAAGCCTTACATAACTTCCGATTTTAAGAAGAGAAATTCTCTTTTACATTTGAATCACTTTCACTGTTTAGATTAGTCTAATTTCTACAAAAGAGTCTGAACACAAATAGAACGTCCGTGATAGCTCGTTGGCAGAGGGTGGACTGTAGACGAATAAAAGCCGAAATCCATAGGTCGCTGGTTCGACTCCGGCTCGACGGATGTCAATTTTGTTCCAGTTGATATCAAAAATGTAATCCCTCTCCACTTGTCTAAAATAAAGCCTTACATTACTTCCGATTTTAAGAAGAGAAATTTTCTTTTACATTTGAATCACTTTCACTGTTTAGATTAGTCTAATTTCTTACAAAAGAGTCTGAACACAAATAGAACGTCCGTCGATAGCTCAGTTGGCAGAGCGGTGGACTGTAGACGAATAAAAGCCGAAATCCATAGGTCGCTGGTTCGACTCCGGCTCGACGGATGCAATTTTGTTCCAGTTGATATCAAAAATGTAATCCCTCCACTTGTCTAAAAATAAAGCCTTACATAACTACTCTCGATTTTAAGAAGAGAAATTTCTCTTTTTACATTTGAATCACTTTCACTGTTTAGATTAGTTCATTCTTACAAAAGATCTGAACACAAATAGAACGTCCGTCGATAGCTCAGTTGGCAGAGCGGTGGACTGTAGACGAATAAAAGCCGAAATCATAGGTCGCTGGTTGACCTGCCTGACGGATGCAATTTTGTTCCAGTTGATACAAAATGTAATCCCTCTCACTTGTCTAAAAATAAAGCCTTACATAACTACTCGATTTTAAGAAGAGAAATTTCTTTTACATTTGAATCACTTTCACTGTTTATAGTCTAATTTCTACAAAAGTCTGAACACAAATAGAACGTCCGTCGATAGCTCAGTGGCAGAGCGGTGGACTGTGACGAATAAAAGCCGAACCATAGGTCGCTGGTTCGACTCCGGCTCGACGGATGCAATTTTGTTCCAGTTGATATCAAAAATATAACCTCTCACTTGTCTAAAATAAAGCCTTACATAACTACTCTCGATTTTAAGAAGAGAAATTTCTCTTTTTACATTTGAATCACTTTCTACTTTAGATTAGTCTAATTTCTTACAAAAGTGTCTGAACACAAATAGAACGCGTCCGATAGCTCAGTTGGCAGAGCGGTGGATGTAGACGAATAAAAGCCGAATCCATATGCTGGTTCGACTCTGACGATGATGCAATTTTGTTCCAGTTGATATCAAAAATGTAACCCTCTTCACTTGTCTAAAATTAAAGCTCACATAACTACTCGATTTTAAGAAGAGAAATTTTCTTTTACAGAATCAATCACTTTATTAGATCTAATTTCTTACAAAAAGTCTGAACAAATAGAACGTCCGTCGATAGCTAGTTGGCAGAGCGTGGTAACGAATAAAGGGAACTATAGGTCGTGGTTCTGACCTGCTCGAGGATGAATTTTGTCCAGTTGATATCAAAAATGTAACCCTCTTCACTTGTCTGAAATAAAAGCCTTACATAACTACTCTCGATTTTAAGAAGAGAAATTTCTTTTACATTTAATCACTTTCACTGTTTAGATTAGTCTATTCTTACAAAAGTCTGAACACAAATAGAACGTCCGTCGATAGCTCAGTTGGCAGAGCTGGACTGTAGACGAATAAAAGCCGAAATCCATAGGTCGCTGGTTCGACTCCTGACGGATGCAATTTTGTCTCAGTTGATATCAAAATGTAATCCTCTCCATCTGTCTAAAAATAAAGCCCTACATAACTACTCTCGATTTTAAGAAGAGAAACTTCTCTTTTTACATTTCAATCACTTTCACCATTTAGATTTGCCTAATTTCTTACCTATATGAGAACCAAGAGAACGTCCGTCTATAAAGGACGCAGGTGGTAGAGCGGTGGGCTGTGGACGTTTAAGGGAACTTTGACAATGTGAACTCCTCAACGGCGGCTTTTGGACGCGCTTTTTATTCTTTATTTTCAATAACCTACTGATTTAGATTAAATAATGAACCAGCTTCTGTGTTACTCACGAGTGTTTCTCATATTCTCCCGCAATATTTCGCGTTTATTGTGTGATAGTACAGTGAGGAAAAGACAGTAATTATTTTGGCCTTTTATTTAATCCTTTGTATACTTTGTATGTGAGGAAGGACAATATAGAAAAATAGATAGGTTTCTTAAATTTTTAAATCAATTTTCCACCCTTTCATAATGCGTCAGTGGTCAGGGCACGTGCCCTTCTTGCCCCACCCTTATTATGCCATTGAACTGAGCTGAGAGTGGATAGTATTCTGGAGCGGGGCTCCCCTTCCGCGCGGGTCGTATTGGGAGCAATTGGCAAGGCCGACCCTTCGACTCCCGCTCGTCAGATGCAATTTTGTTACAATGCTTACAATACAAAAACTGAATTCATCAGCACTTTGCTAAATTCAAACTTTCTATTATCAGTATCTCTTCGCAGGAAAGAATTGTTTGGTACTTTTTTAACGTTTGAATGTTCAATTCCTTATTCCGATTGATTTCATTTCTTAGAAACGCCCGTTTCTTACTTATGATTTTATAATTAAAATTGAAAAAAAATTAAAAACAATTACTTAGACTTTTTTAAAAATCTCCTATAGGCAATGTGAAATTACACCCTTTTAGTCCGGAAATATAATGAAAAATAAATTTCACGCCCTCTGCCATTTTCATCCCTAATTCCAGAAGGGTTGGAGGTATGATAATGAAAGGGGATGGAAGATTATGTAACTGGTGGGAGCTTTCCAGCGAACATGATTACTTAAATATTAAATGTTCACTTCCACATTAAATGTTATTCGTTCTGACTACTTGATCATTTATCTGATTTCATTCATTTTACTATTTTCAATGGTAAACGAGGTATAGGAAAAAGAAAGTTTCAACAATCCACCATTTCCACTCCTTTTCAGCTGGATGGCCCATCTACGACGTATGCCGACTTTCGCCCTTCCTGCAAGACATCACTCCCTGGTTCAAATTCAATCGAAATCACTCCAGTTATGGTGTTCAAAAGATATTGTTACAAACATGGAAAGTCGCTTCCCAGCAATGTGAGTCTTGTGGTTGGGAAGAGAGTTTTACAGGGTTAAGTATGGGATGACTGTCATCAGCCACGTCTGGTTCCCCGACCTTGGCGACTTTGGCGACGAAATATGAGATCTCAAAGGTGCTGGAATCTTCTCGATATTTCCATTAGGAGAGAAGATACGCTTGAATGTACTAGATAATTCCATGTGACATCATGGCCTGCCGGGGGGAACTATATAAGGAGAGCTCTTGGATGACGGAGGGTGTGTGTTGATCGACTGGGATCGTCTTGGCGCGCGAACGTCTTTGGAACGTCTTCCACAGCTAGGGAGCTGGTGAGCTGAGCGCTATTGAAAGTGCAATTATTGTCGCAACTAGTTATTTGCTGATTGTTTGTGTTGCTAAATATCAAAGTGCTGAACTGTTATTACCTGTGAATTGTTGTCTGTTTACATTGCTAATCTGTGCAAGAACTATTGTTTCCTGCAGCTGTGCTACGTGTTTTCCTGCATATTTGTAAATAAACCTTCATTCTTCATTATCCTGCGTATTGGACTGTTTACACCATACACCCACAGAAAGACTGTTGAAACAATATAATATAGGTAAAATTTTCATTTCCATTACACGTAAGCTAACATTTTCTTTAAGGTATCTGACTACTTTCGAAAAACGGTTTTGAGTCGAAATTCACAAATATTTTTTTTTATAATTTTATTTTAAAGCCCATTTAATTAGATTTTCAAATTTGGGTTAATTTTATTTTTACGATAAATAGAAACGGAGTTAAAGAATTGTTCATAAAACACGGTGGCTAAAATCGAAACCAGAAATTAGCCATTTTCCATCGTTTTACCAAATACACTGCACTTTGAAAAATAAATGAATTTACTTTCACTTTTAATTTATTATATACTCTATCTGCAAGCCTCATCAATTTAAATAAGTTTTTAAGTTTTAACCATCTTCTGTAGAAAATTTTGCCAAAATGCACATTTGAGTTACAAACTTCACGTTTTGGGACATCAATAGTTGTATTGCTGTTTAAGGGTGGATTTTTTGGTCTTATAAGAGTGCTCCAGGATCTAGGAATAGTTACTGGTCAATATATGCTTTGAAACAATATCTTAACTTCAATAACCAGAGAATCGGTTCTACTTCTAAGAGACAATCTTTGGCAGGGACAAAAAATATTTTTTAAAAATTACAGGCTGTCAGAATTTAAAAAAAGTGATAAGATTGAGAATAAAGAAGATATATACAAATGTGGCGAATTATAAAGGAAGTTTAATGAATATATTCTTAATGAAAAACAAATGAAAACTTTAAATGCTATTTTTTTGAAAAATTGATATTTCGTCAAAAGTTACTCACATAAAACATGATATCTCAAAATATTATGATTATATTTCCTTGAAATTTTAAAAACATGTTACTTTAAGTATTATGAAGGCAATGAACTACAAATATAGTTCTGAAGTCATCAGTTTTTTTTTATTTACAGCTGCTTGAAGTTGTTTATACCTATGCATTTTGTGATATTTTGAATAAGAGAATATTTGAATTCCCATAACTTTTCTCTAAATGCAAATATTTCTTAGATCCTAGTTCATTGCCTACACCATAGCTGTAAGTGTGCTGTGTTGAGAAAGAATTTGATTATATGGATTAGAATTTCTGCTAGTGTTTTGCTCCTTGCTTTCACCATTTTTTTTACCTAAATTACTCCATTTTACTGAATATCAAGTGACAGAAAATTTCCTGACTGGTATTATTCATAGTTTTGTATCACATTGACCCAGAAAATAAACTAAAATTATTTTCAAAAATTTGCCTCCCAACCTAGGCAGATACTCAATATAAAGCAGCCAAATATATAGAACTAGTCGGAACAGTTCGGGTTTTTTTTCACTTTTTGTCCTCAACTGACACCTAGCTCAATACCTAGAGCATCCTCTATTAAAATTTAGAAAATATGAAAAATCAAACGACGAAACATAAATTCCGAATTAAAAAACAAAAATGGAGTCAAGTTGATCCTTTTCTTAAAAATTTACAGCCAATAATTTCGCAATCCCGTTTTAATCAATCAGATTTTTCAAACACGAAAATTTATCTCGTTCTATCATCTTATCTATTTTTTAAAAAAATAGAGAGAGAATATATCATGAGGTTAGTTTGAAACAGCTCTCTTAAAAGAACTGGCACAATCCCTCGAGAAAAGCAAACTTTGAATTATTTTAAACAAGATCTAATCAACAACGAACACTCCAATACAACAAAATCGCACTTGGCAAGCGAATCAATGAAATCGATTGTGAAAAGGTAACTTAAAGACATGTGACCGACATAAGTAACAAGATTAGGGAAAAAAATCCGTAACCAGTCCTTGAAAAAGACACTCTATTTTTTTCCAGGCGGAAAATTACTTTATCGATAAAATCAGTAGCCCAACGCCTCTGTTATTGTCACAGTAATTATGTGTCACCGCGAAGCATTAAGTGTTCTTTAGCTACTTCCACATCATCTCTCTTCGTGATCACCTTTCCCATTCTGAACTGCAATGCTTCACTCGAAGTTCCTATCATATTGGTAACCCTTTTTTTCGATTATTCGGATTATGATCCGTTATCGCCAGTTGGCGATGTCGGCATACAAGTGCTGCTCAAACAACACAAGAACTCAGATGCGTTGGCGAGTTATTACGTGTTGGCGACTGAAGCACCGCTGTTGATCGAATAGGAGCTTGGCGCAAGGAGAAACAGTTTTTAACCGGCAACCCCACGCGGTTGTAGGACCAAAGCAAATTTTCTATCACAAGGATTCTGGCTCACGCGAAATTCGTTCCAAGTCGAATTGCCGGTCTTCAGAAGTGCTTGTCATTCACGTTGTGGAACGATTGA